GCTCTTGGATTTGTCCTATGTAGCTGATGTCAGTAGCTGATGGTTTTTCATTGTTCCTAAATCAGCAGCTGTATGATGGGGTATTTTTTATGCCTGCTTATTCCTGGCCAAGTGGCATACATCTGCAAAGCTACCAAAAGCCAGGGGTGCCAACAGCTTCCATGGGCCCCTGGCCAACATGTGGGAGGCGGCTTTGTGCTTGTGGTAGGGGCAGGGCCTTGGGTAGAAAGGGTGGGGCCAGAGGCAGCCAGTTCTGCACGTTACCTGGAGTGCAGTGCACCCCAGCCCTCAGACCTGTGTGGAGTGTGTCAGTGGCACTTTGACAGAGATTGAAAGTGCCCAGGGCTCTGGCTGCTGCTGCGGTTGTAGTAGCAACAGCAGCAGCTGGGAGCCCCAAACCCCTTTAATCACCCAATCCTGGATTGATTGCTCCCTTGGCTGCCCTCTTCTTCCCATTGGTGGGTCTGACAAAAGCCATAGGGTTTCAGAGGTTGATTCCCAAACTGATGTTAGATGATGCTCATGGAGGACCTGAATTTAACTGTATTCTACTCATAGTTCATAGGGACAGATGGGGCTGTGCTGAGCAGAAACCAGGATGAAAAACTCTTTGAAAATGTAAGGGTGTTGCTGAGTAGTTTAGGATTATACTTTTTTATTTGTTAAATTTAGACCTCATATATCTGCATGGCATGAAGCACAGCAAGAGATTGTTGTCAGTGGGTGAATTTGGCTTAAACCCAAAATCCTGTCAGTAAAATCCCATATGGGAAGGGTTATTTTTTGTGAATCTGTTATACCAAACACCTATAAATGTTGCAGGAGAAACAGCAAATTTAACGAGAGGAATTGTCTTATCTGCTTTCTGTATCTGAATCCTTTTCTTGCCATCACATATTGCTTTAAAATAATCATTATTTTGGCCAGAGTTGGGCAAGTAATTAGTATTGAATAATTTATGTTATATATCTTTTATGGTCCTGGCACAGATTGTGTTTTTCACAAGTGTATTTGTTATTTAAAATTATTTGCTAAGTACTATTCTTTGAATGAATTGTTTGGTGGCACTTTACTCACAAACAGCTTGTGGCAAGTACTAATTAATTAAATTGAATTTATTTTAATGGGAATTAAAAGCCTTTGACAGCTTTGAAAACCTAAGTCTAAATATACCATTTTTTTTCTGTCTCCATCAGACACAAATCGCGATAGTTTGTTTTCTTATTGTATAAACATAACCTTTTTACATCAATTTCTTGCATAAATACTCACTATTATGAATTTAATATTTACTTTTTGCAAATATTCTTCAATACTTTTAGGGTGTGTCTAGACAGCACCCTTCTGTTGGAATAAGCTACGCAATTTGCGCTACGTAAATTTCCGAATATAGATCCAAAGAGCTTATCTTGAAATGTGGCGCTGTGTAGACAGTGCCAAATTTCAAAATAAGGCACTATTCCTACTAATCCCTTAACCCTCGTGGAACGAGGGTTACAGGGATGCTGGAATAGCGCTTTTAAAGACGTGGCATTGCTATTTCGGGATACTTCTGGTATCGCAAAATAGCACCACAGTCTAGATGTACCCTTACTGTTTGCCGTGTGGATACCAGTGAAGTCAAGGAGTGTTTTGCTATTGCTATGGATTTGGCTAAATGTTCTTGTCATGGGGCTGATGTGGCTGCCACATTACCTTCAAGATGAATGTAAAGAAGTTATTTTAAAGTGTCTGAAAGGATAACAGTAGCACCTAAAACACAGGCATGTGAAAAAGCTTGACTAGACGCTGAATCATGTTGCCCAGGTGATTTCAAATGCAGGGTCTAGGGCTTGGCTCAGTGGAACTGCTTTGATGTGTGCATCTGAAAGAGTAGAGAGAGACATAGTCAAGGAGACATAGTCTGGAAAGGATCCTGAGAGAAGCCTCGAGGCAGGTGGTTTTGGTTTGGGGTGCCAGCGGAAGGAGTCTTGGACCTATGAACAAGGCCACTGTCTTCTACTATTTGATTCCTCCTATGTTCCAAGAAGCAAGGCATTCTTTGTAAATAAACAAAATTGCATCAAAGAGACACCTGACTCTCACCACTTTCTCCTCCTAATTGGAACAACCCTTAAGACCCTGAATTTATGACTAGCAGCTCAGGTCAATAGGTGACTTTTGTTAGACTCCATTTGTCATCCAGTGGTAAAAGAAACCAGAAAACTCCATTACTAGAACAGCGATGGCAAGCAAATAGAAGGAGCATAGACACAGTAACCAAGTTTAAATATTCAGAATAAATGTTCAGATAATGTGTGGCAGTTTCTGCTGGCTCTTATTTCAATATTTTTAAGGTCTATCCCGCCAGCCCCTCATGTTCTTGTCCATTTGAGTCCCTCGATAAAGCACACACCTGTTGAAACTATCTTGTGTCATCACTATTTGTGTTAATGGCTTAGGAAACTCACAATGCAATCAGCTAAAATAAACAACCCAGTGTAATAGGAACATAAATCAATGAAGAATTCACTGCTGAAACCTAAATGTGAAGTCCATTCACCTACAGGGTAAAGGGATACTGAGAGACAGCAAGTCAAAACCAGAGAGTATAGTTTGATTTTTTTCAAAGGTGATGAGAATTGACATCTCTAGTTGGAACCCATGAGTTTGTGGATGTTCATCACCCTGAAGGACAGGACATAAAGTCCTTTGAGTTTGATACCTTTCTTTGGCCTTTCAGATCAGCGAGAGTTGAAGGGATATAGCAGAGGACTGTCAGGTGAATCTACTTAATGTTCCAATCCTATTGACCAACCGTAATGTCAATGTCAATGTCCTTCCATAGGCTGGATTTTATGTGTTTTCAGTTTTTAAATGCAAAAAACCCTATGTTAAAACATCATTCTTAATGTTGCAGCAAAGTTAAACACTCAAAAGTTAGGAAATGCCAGGAAAGTAAGCTTGCTAATGCTCCTAAATATGAAGTACACATTATTAGTAGCCCCCTGTGAATAAGTGACTTGTCCCACATTACATAAGATCTGTATGGAGGAAGCAAGGATAGAATTCAGTTTTCCCCAACTCATTCACTACTCTTCCACTTCTACAACCAATGAAGTGGTTTTATAATAATTAATTACACAACCCTCATATATTCCCTGGACATCATCCACTGCACTGAATGAAGCAGGGGACCTGTGGAAAAAGTAGTAGATGATCATGTAATTAAAGACTGTATAAAACTCCCAAAGAGGCCAAATATAAGGTTGCCTTTGGGATGCTAGCTTTTCCACTGCAGTTTTAGTTAGATAAGGAATTCTCTTCCTGTCTTCAACTATTGGGCGGTGCAGCTCTAAAATATTAAGCATGTCAGGCTCTTCAGTGGTTGTTGAAGAGATAAGAACATAAGAGAGGCCATAGTGAGTCAGATCAAAGGTCCATCTAGCCCAGTATCCTGTCTTACGACAGTGGCCAATGCCAGATGCCCCAGAAGGAGTAAATAGAAGAAAGTGACATGGAAGCAAGAGTCTCCCAGGCAGAGACCCAGTCAAACAATGCCACTTAAGCCCCAATGAGATTTGTGCTCACAACCATTAGTTTACAAGACCAATGCCCTAATCCCCTGAGCTATGGAACCACATGGCCGTAGCAAGCCTGTGTAACAGTAGGATATGTTTCTATAACTACCAGGAGGAAAGGTATATTTTTAAAATATCATTATGATTTTGGTGGGAGACAGAGTGACTCCTTTACATATATGTGGCTTGCACAAAGAACTTGAAGTTTCTCAGCAATGATAGGCGATATATATATCTATAGATAGATATAGACAGATATAGATAGATATATGAAGTAAGGTTTATATTGCATTAGGAATTCCTGTTAAAAATAATAGTGAACATAAATACATGGTAATGCAGACTATAACCTCTAAATCATTCCTCCTCCACTCTTCAGTAGTGAAATATATTGGCATAAGGAGGATTCAGATGGGTGTCTGCTATACCACCACCCACTAACTGTAAGAGTTAGCCTAAACACTGGTTTCCCACTCCCCATATACAGGTTAATTTATCCCATTCTTTTAAATACAAGATTTGTTTTGGGATCATGTTACATTAGCAATCTGTATTATCTACTCCAGATAATGTTAATTTAGTTTTCACTACAAGTATGACAAAAGAACCTCTCATATTGTCAAAATTCCGGTTACCAGGCTCTGGGATTCCATTACAGGTGCAAAGCAACATTTAAAGATGGGACTGGGACTTCAAATGATGGTAAGGGATGCCCTGGATACAGAATACTCAAATGTCTATTGACAGTAGCAAAATGATATCCTGTGCAACTTTGAGAATTTTAAGCATGAATTGAAAAAGAAAAAGTGGCCAGGTCATGCAGAAATGTAATTTAGAAAAACAACACACAACCTCATCTCCATCCGCAGCAAATGGTGGTATCTCTGAGCATTCCCAAAGTGTTACACAGGGACTGAAGTTGTTCTAAATTTCACCTCTTCCTGGATTTTTCCCTTTGTGAAAGCTGTCATTCATATACTGCAGATGCTGGTTCAATGTTTATGCTAAACTAAGTTGTGTGTTAAGGATGATATCAGCTTTGAGAATGCAGTCGAAGAGTATATAGACAGAACGAAATTAAAGCAGTAAGGAAATATGCAAATTAGTGTTGGGCAGACTGGCTCAAATGGAGAGGTTTCTCAATGGTTTCTGCATTCCCACTCCTACCCCTCATATTTTAAACACCACTTTGTATTTGGTATGATTACTATGACACCAAGTGGCAATTAAAACCCATTATTAGCATGAGGCCTGCTACCCCCAGTGCCCATATGAGTGTAAGTGTACCCTTTTATCAAAGCGTCACAGCAATGCCTCTGGTCCTCAAAGACATCTGCATTCATATCCAGCCCTGGATAGCATTGAGTGTCTTGGAAAGTAAAGCCCTTGACTTTATTTTGAGTTCATTTACCGAGATGGGAAAATGTGTTCCTCTTGCAGAGCTCCCAGGACAAGGAGATGATCCTTAATGTTCTCAGCATTCTCACAGGCCTTCTCTCCATTGGTAAGTACTGAAGTCTTAATGTCTCTGTCTTAGATACTTGTAGGGTCTTCTTGGAATCTAAGTACCTCACAACCTTTGAAATGTCTTTACAATCCCCACACCCTATGACATAGGGCAGAGCTATTATCCCCATTTTACAGATGGGGGACTGAAACGCAGAGACTGATGCTAGGTCTACACTATAGGGGTTTTTTTTTTTTCAGAAAAAGCTATGCAAAATGCACTTCACAATTTGTGTAATTTTTTCCGATTTCTTTTCCCGAAGAGGCTTTACTACCATTTGGTCCCATCTAGATGGAGCCAAATGGGGGAAAAGCCTCCTCTTTCAGCTGAGCTCTTATTCCTTGTAGAATGAGGTATACAGGGCTCCCCGAAAGAGCATGTTTGCTCTTCTGCAAGAAAAGCAGAAGAGCAAATGTGTTCCCTGGATGTGGCAGAGTTTTTCTGGGATACCTCTGGAATCCCGGAAAAACTGTCCAGTCTAGATGTACCCTAAGTGACTTGCCCAAGAGCATGCAGGAAATCTGGAGTGGAGCTGGAAATTGAGTCAAGGTCTCCTGAGCCCCAGACAACACGCCTGCCATTGAACCATCCTTCCTGTCTTGTAGAATGAAGGTAGGTGGCCTTAAAATAGGGTACAGACCACAGATCTCTCTCTGGTGTTTGCTAAATCAATTCTGCCTAGTTTGTGAAAAAAGCCTTTAAGCCTGGCCTGGGCCAGCACTTCCCTTAGCTACCCTTGGCTGGAAACGGCAATGCAGAGCCAATGGGAACCACAAGGCTCTGTGGCTACAGAACCTTTAGGTAAACAAGGTGGCATGGGCCCACTAGCAGCTCTCTCAAAGCAGGTCTGTGGGTCACTTTGAGAAACCCTAAAACAGATGGATTCACTATAGATTATTTGAGTTCTTTCTCCCTCCATGGACAGATGTCCATAATATTCCCAGCCTTGATTTCCAGTCGAAAACTTCACAGCTGGCCTAAGAAGTCTGTGGATTATGAGCTGTTGACACAATAGGACCTAGAGAGTTAGCATTTGGTTTCACTGGAGACCTACTTTGTTTGGAGGCTTTCCTAGGATTCATCCCTCTACCCTAGGCACTGTTGAAACTCTTTTCTTCACTTATTTTAATTTCAATATTCAGGGAAAGATCATCCACCATTACACTCCTTTGAAATCTGTCAGTGTCTCTTCTGATTCTTCTCTAGCCTATTTCAATGCAAACTGAAAGGTCCAGCAGGTGGTGGCTTATATAGATAATAGCAGCTGGAGCAAGAGACAACACCACACATGGTTTTGATATGGAACAGAGATTGGCCTGAGCCACAGCTCCAAACCCTCGGGACAGTTAAAATCCAAGTCCAGATGTAAATATTGCAAATGCCTTTATATTTATAATTGTTTGGAAAAGAAAAACACAGAGAATGGTCATTTATTGTGCTTCTTTTGGCTTGATAAGCATCCTCTGAATCATATAATGTTCACTTATTGCTATGTTTAAAGCACTGTGACAGGAAAGTTCTTGACTATCCCTCCTTTTTAATTTTCTGTGCTTAGGAACAGACCGACGAATTCACTACATGATCAGCAAAGGGGGGAGTGAAGCTTTGTTGCAGGCTCTGATGAATGCTGCAGAGACAGCTCAGCCAGACTACAGCATTCTTTTACCTCTGCTTCGCCTATTGGCTAAAGTAGGCCAAAGAGGTATTGATGTGCCATTGCTGCTTAAAGGGATTGGGAGGAGGGTATAGAAAGCCAGAGATCACAGTAAAGATCAGGTCTGTAATCTGAGGCTTTGTTTACACTGACATGTTTTGTAGCCAAAACCTACCTTTTGTCAAGAAAACAATGAAAGAGTGCGACACTACTATGCGACTTTTGTTGGGAAAAACAATCAGTTTTGGCGATAAAAAATGTCTACCTCTGCAAGAGATTTTGTCTTTTCCTGTTCTTTTATTTTCACAAAATGCCAGTGTGGACTCTGATGTTTGTTTTGTTGAGAGAATTGGCTACCTCCAGTATCCCACAATGCCTGCCCTGATGGCTGTGCTCAGTGTTTTGTGGTCTCTGCTGCCCTCCAGGCATTTGTCCCTCCGCTTTCAAAGCTCAAGGAAATATCTGACAGCTGAGTGAGCTGCTCTGTTTGGGGAAAAAAACAAAGAACAAATCATTAGAATGCTTCTGTTCTGCTGCTGCCGTGGGAGGGCTGGAGAGATTGATGTGCTTCTTTGACATTCCTTAGCACGGAGAGCTCTGCGAACTACAAGGGAATCCCAAGAAGCACAGGGATCAGCCACTGCCTTCCCACAACATTGCACTATGGAATGCTTACCCACATTGCTTTGCTCTGTCTGTCAAGAGGGGAGCTAGCAATGTGGCCATGTAATGTCGACAATGGGAAGCAGAACACTGGGTTTGACCGGTTATCACTTTTGACTGCTTTTGCATGTCATCAGCACTTGGTCGCCAAACCTTCTCAGTGTAGACATAACGTGAAAATATTTTAACAAGTTGATTATTGCTAACTTTCATCCTCTAAATAATCACCCCAATTTAGTCACAATAAACCCCAAATCAAGATAATCCCACTTTAAAATAAGTAAAAAACAAGTCAATCCCTAAACGAACGCTAACACTCTGCGACTAGATCCCCCCGCAGTGCGCAGTCTGGGACTGTGGTGGGCCTGCAGTGCACCCCCGAACTCTTTCCTCCTGCTTGCCCATCTTTGCCCTTGCTTGCAGGGAGCCAATAGGGGAAAAAAAGACCCAACAAACCCAGGCTGATTATTCCTGAAACAAGTCAAATTTCTGCAGTTTTAAAGCAATTCTTCTGATGACAGAATGATGGAGATCATTGTTTAGCTCAAGCAATAGGTATGCTGCTTTTTGGATCCTGTGTCTCTGACAGAAGGGACAGGTTGGAAAGATTGTATGTGAAGTTCATTCTGAGCTCCTGAATAGCATTTTGTGTTACTCATAAAATACAGTTGGACAGTGATTCCCATACAAAATATGGAAACATACAAATTCTGTGTCCCAAACCCACATTCAAAAACATATTTCACTCGCTGTTATATCTGTCATCAGTGTCTCAGTATTTGGAACACAGCTAGGATGTCAAGGCTTTGCTGTTGAATCTTTCATTGAACTTTGGGCCTGATGTGTGCGGCTATATCATTTTCATGGTTTTGTTTTCTGTGTTCTGCACCTCTCCATTTCTGGCAATTTTTGCAAAAAGAGATGCCATTTTGTGAGTCAGTTTTTATGGCTGTTATATCTGTCATCAGTGTCTCAGTATTTGGAACACAGCTAGGATGTCAAGGCTTTGCTGTTGAATCTTTCATTGAACTTTGGGCCTGATGTGTGCGGCTATATCATTTTCATGGTTTTGTTTTCTGTGTTCTGCACCTCTCCATTTCTGGCAATTTTTGCAAAAAGAGATGCCATTTTGTGAGTCAGTTTTTATGCCACATGTTATAAAGGACATATGCACAGAGAGCTCTTTTTATAGAGACTTTACTGTAGTTCTGTCTTGTTTCTCTCAATTTAAAATTACATGGCTGTTTTTTGCATATGGAGACTGTGACGCTGAACTAATCACCAGCCTCTGTGCCTCATCTTACCTATCTGTAAACGGACAAGGAAAAATAATTTATTTCCCTGACAGGTGTATTATGAAGCCTTAGTAATAAATGTTGTTTGTAAATGCTTTGCTATCTTCATATAAAATATCTTGCTGAAGGATGTGGCATGATTACACCACAATATGCAGCATTTCTGAGGCACTGCTGAAAGCCATACTTTATTTACCATCACCATTTTGTTCCTGTTTACTTTCACAGACAGGAAGTTTGGGCTGAAAGTGCAGAATCTGGAGGCCATTGATGTGACACTGAGCTTGGCGAGGAAAAATCTGACTCACCATCTGAATCTCATTCACTGTCTCTGGGTCCTGCGGGTTTACGCTTCTACTAGTAAGTGCCCCCTTTCATTTCTCTTCCCGGTAAGTGTGGGAGCACTTTTTGCAGTTGCTACAATGCAAGTTAATGGCCAATTGGCTATAGGGACATGCATGGATAACAGGGGTAGGCAATAAGACAGCAGCGGTTCACCAGGGTTAATGGTGGGCCACCACTGCTTCATTTACCTGTGCCTCCACAGGTACAGGTGCTTCCAGCTCCCAATGGCTGTAAATCGCTATTCCTGGGTGGTGTGTGAAGTGGCACAGACTGGGCCAGGAACAGTGTTCTGTAGCCAACAGAAGCTGCAAGTACCCATACATGCGGAGATGCAGGTAAATACAATGGCAGTGGCCCATCAGGGGCTAACCCTGGTGAATCAAGATAGCCCGTGAGGTGGTTATTGCCCACCACTGATGTATAAGCAGGTCTATTGGCATCTACATTTAGATAGGATCTCTGCTCAAGGTACACCGTCACAGAAGGGTAATGCTCAGACTTTGGGGCAAGGCAGAGGGGAGGACAGTCTTGCGGGGCCCCTGGGCAAGGAGAGAGGGGGCACAGGCTGCCCCAGAAGGGGCGGGGCCTCGGGCAGATGGGGCAGGGCAGGAGACTTTACGTGATTCCCTACCCACAGACCCTGATTGGCCTGAGGGCAGGGGAGCATGTGGAGTCTTTGCACCTCGTCCCCACCCTGCCAGGGTTCAAAACAGCTGGAAGTTCCCTCTGGTGCCGCACGCCCAGTAGGGGGGAGGAGGCTCCATGCACTCCCCTGTCCCCAAGTCTCAATTGGCCTTGGGTCAGAGGAATGGTAGAGTGGCCACCTTCTAGATCAAAGGGGTAGGCAGGCCGGATCCAACCTATGGAGAGTCTGGGAAGGTGTATGGGAGTTGGAGCAGAGGTGCAGAAAGTTTGGGTTACATGAGGTAGGAGGGGAAAAGGGTTGGGGGAGGGAGGACCTGGGGTGCCAGAGGCTGGCTCTAGCTGGGAGACCTTGCCAGGGTGGCTCCCAGCCATCAGTCTATCAGGTTCCTTAACCAGGGTCCCTGCCTTCCATGCCCCTATACTGCTCATAGCAGCTACAGGGGCCATGTGAGCCCTGGGGAAGAGAAAGGAGAGGCACTTCACATGCTGCCTCTCCAGAAAACAGGCAGCTGCTACTGGTGAGAAACTGTCCAATAGGAGCTACTGGGGGCAGGAGTAGTGTAAGAAGCCTCTGCCCCTTCCCTCTGGGCTCTCAGCATTCACAGAAGCACATGGCCCTGCAGCAGCCGGCTTCACTGAGTGCCGAGTGGGGTGGCTGAGGCCCTCGCGGGCTGGATGCGATGGCTTGGCGGGCCGGATCTCTCCCGCAGATCACGTTTTGCCCAGCCCTGCTATAGAAGATATAAATACTATAATAGAAAATAGCCATGGAAAAACTATTTAGTACAGATGATGCAAGATCATTCCTTTCAGTCTATTCCAGATGTCTTGAGTACTCACATGGCCCCTATTCCTACAGAATATGAGCTTACTGTATTTATGCTCACAACACCCATGTGAGTTAGGGCAGTGTTGCTATCCTCATTATGAAGACTGGCAACTCAGGCACACAGAGACAAATGATCATGCGGGGAACCTGTGACAGAGTGAACCCTGAAGCCGTACCCACCATCTAAAGCCCTACCCACCAGATCATCCTCCCCCTTGTAGTCTTCAGTGTTCAGGGACTCAAGCACTGGGATTCCTAATTCTTCCCTGACGAGACCACCGTGCATTCAGATATTTTTTCTCATGGGGAAATGTTTCCTTAGAGGCAGCACACATTTTCCTTTAATCCTATTATATCCTTTTGCTTCACGTAACCGTATCCTCTCCCTCCTGGCTACTTACCCCCTGCAGATAATTCTAGATGGTTTTCATATTCCCTGAACCCCTACCATATACTCACATCACCTTCTGGCCAAACTGTTTATATCCAGGTTTCCAAATCTTTCCTCCTAAGATTTAACATTACTGGCTGACATCCCTCTAGGTCTTAGATTTACACAGGAGCTGGCCTCATGAATTGGGATTTCTCAGGAAGGCATCCAGCTCCCAGCATTCAGTCCCTCTGCCTGTGAAAACTGGTGTTGAAGGGGTGAGTGTAATGGAGACAGAAGCACAGACAAGCAGTTAAAATGTGTCTTCAGGTTACAGAGCAGTTTTTCACACTCAGCCCCTTTCCATGCCCCTTCTGCCCTCATTAAGTGCACCTGTTTTCCTATTAAAAGGCTTTAGCCCACTGCACTATAGCCTTTAACCCTTTCCCTTAGGGCACGTTTGACTACATCCCTCTGTCGACAGAGGGATGTAAACGAGGCACTTCGAAAGTGAAAATGAAGCGGGGATTTAAATATCCTGCACTTCATTTGTATAATCGCATCATGGCGCTTTTTGGAAAAAAGGTCTAGACGCAGTTCTTTCGAAAATGGCAGGCTTTTTCGAAAGATCCTGTAAACCTCAAAAAATGAGCCTGAGGGGGAATTCATCACTGTGCTGTTCCACATAGGCCTAATCATTAGGATCTGCACAACTTCCCCTGGTGAACCCCACCCAAGTGCCTTAAAGTGTCCTACCTGCTCCACCCACATCAGCACTGGCTCTGCTAGTTCAGTGCCACATCTGCAGAAGCCAGAACACAAGCATTGTTCCCAGATAGGCCGAGACTTTTACATACGTGGTGGAGAACTGGAGAATTTCCCTCCCTCCAAGTCATCTACTTGACTGGAGCACCATAAAGAACCCAAGAACATATAACACCCTGAACGCTCCCTGGGGGTAGGAGTCTAAGTAGCCAGCCCAGCCTTGTTAAGATCTCACTGTAGCTGCGTATTGTCCTGGGTTGCACCTTTCCCAGAGTGTGCTGCCAGCCCTGTGTGCAGTATCCTCCCTCCCCCAGTCTGCAGGGAGTAGCCATGGACACTGCACTATCCCTGATGAATAGATTGCTATTGTGAAAGTAGCCAGTGAGCCTTCCAATACTCTCTATCAGCCGGATGACTTGGCTGAGACCCGTATAAACTGATGGGTCCTTTGGCAGCTTTCTGGCAAGGAGGGGGGAAAGTTAGTGACAAAGCAGCCAAAAAACCTAGCCTTGGGCAGGCATCCAGGACTCCCTCTGGCTGCTGATGGGATGTAGATTTCTCATTCCCCTGCCCCACACCCTCCTGCTTAGGACAATAAACTGTCCTTTATCGAGGCACCTAACTGTTTTGGGCTGTGTGCCATCCCTATTCACCTAGAGAGCCCCTGCTATCCACTTCACTCACTCCAGCCCCTGAACTTTCCCCAGAGCCATCCTGTCCATAGGATGAATCGGGGTGGCTGCCCCTGGTCCTGCACTTTTGGGGGCCCTTTGGCAGCTGCTTTAACCTTTCTATGTATGGGAGGGATCCGGGGGATTACAGGGCCTGGTGCAATGACAGCAGGGGTTGCCCCCCCCCCATATTCACTGTGAGAGCAGCGGGAGCTGGAGCAGCCCAGCAGCCTGCTCCGCTCCATTCCCCTCCCCCATGCCACCTTTCTGGCTGTCTGTGTGCAGCATCTCAGTGGCAGTGGGAAGCAGAGCACTCCAGCCCCAGAGCGCTCTACTTCCCTGTGCCACGGAGAAGTGCAGCACAGTGGGCTGGAAGGTTGGCACAGCGAGTTGGAGCAGAACAGGTTGCCAGGCCACTATGGCTCCCATCACACACGTGGCCAGGAGAACCCCTGTTGCCACCACACCAGGCCCCCTGAAATCCAGACTGCATTGCTCAGGGGAAGGGAAAAGGGGTCAAGATGCAGGATGGAACAGGGTCAGGGCTTTGGGAAGGGGTGGAGTGGGGAGCAGGGTGAGGTGTGCAACGGAGGGGTTGCTCCAACCCCTCACTCCCCTTGGCTCTGACCTCCCCTGCTCTCCCCATTCTGTGTGAGACTGGAGGTTTGACGAGGGATTGTTGTAGATGAGCTTTAAAGCCAGCCTTTCCCAGATAGGTCACTGCATTTGACTGCGAACGTGCGGATTGGTTGACTCCATTTAACCCTAATCTGTCTCTAGGAAGTGAAATATCTTCTATAAATGAGGGGTTAGCTCTGAAGTATTCAAATGACCAGAGGCCTAAGCGTTAGAATACCAGGGTTCTAGTCTTGGCTCTGCCCTTGAGTCAGTGACTTTTGATCTCTATGTACCTCTGTACCTACATCTGTAAAATGGTTAAAAAGTCCCCTTTGGAAGCCCAGAGAACCTCCTAATAATCCCAGAAGCTTCTCCTCTCTTCACTGATCTACCTGTAATTCCAGCAACCCAACCTTGCTGCTCAGGATCTAACTGCCTGTCTTTTGTTGTCACAGTTTCTGCGGGAACCAAGCTGGGCATTAATGGAGCCATGGAGTTGCTTTTCAAAGTCATCACTCCGTACACCAAGAAACACACCAGAACAGTCAGGTAGGGAGTGGCTACAAGCGAGTTCATTTGGAACTGTCCGAGTGTCGTTAATATGCCAAATATAGGGATGAATGAACAAGTTTAGATCAGAGCTACAACTGAGCTACAGGTTGAATCTCTGTAAACCGGGAGTCTCTGGTCTGGAAATGCCGGACCATTGATGTTCCTGAACCAGAATGCCTCACTGGCCAGGAGCTCTGCCGTGGTGGTGACAGCAGGGCCAGTGACAGCAGGGCCAGGAGTCTTGCCAGGGAAGCAACAGTGGGGTTGATGGCAATGGGGCTGCTGGGGCAGGAGCCCATGTTGACTGGAGGCAGAGAGCTGGTGTTGACCTCCTCTGGTTCAACAAACTCCCTCCTTCAGGACCGATCAGGTCCCATGGTTGTCAGATCAGGGAGATTAACCTGTACACTGGTCAGAACCAGTCCAGGAGCCAAAGTGTTTCTAAAATTCTAGTGGTGCCCGGCTCCAAGAGTTTGGTGCTACCTGTAAAGAAAATCAAATGAGAACTGACCCAAGACTTTCTTGAAAAAGTGAAATCAACATTTTTAGAAGTATAAAAACATTCAGTGAATTGTACGACTGTATTGTTACTGAGCCCTGGGCGTTCCTGGTCTAACATCAGTCCCTCCCTCCTCAGCATGATGAGGAATTAGAAACATGCTGGAGACAGCCCCTCTCAACAACTGATGGTAACAAGCCCTTTGTGTCATTCTGCAGCAGGTTTCCGCCCCATTTGACCTGAAAGACGAAGTGATTGATTTAAAGCAGAGCTTTGCCCAGCCCTTCTCAGATGGAGAGTTGTGATTGGCCCAATGTGGGGCTTTTAATGGGCTGGAACCCCGTCACCCCCAATAAAATCCTAATGTCTGAGTCTGTTTTAAAGCACATGGCAAATGTTATTTCAAAGTGACTTTTTCTATCAAGAGTAAACTAGCCTGGCTTCTGCAGATTGAACTAAAATTAGCCATGCAGCTGTCTGCTCCAACCCTGTCCCCAGCCAGTTCTCAGGGCAAGATTTATGAGGCCTGCATGCCTGTAACAGGGAAGGAGCACAGGGTGAGTGAGGGTAACAAACACCAGTGGCTTTACACCAGCCCAGCCTGCTACAAACAATAGAGAGAGAACGCTGGCTACTGTGCATTTTGCACAGGGCCCTACACTCACGGCTCACAGTCAGGCAAACCGTCATGAGCCTGCTCTTGCAATATTCACGATACGTTCCTGTGCAGGGCCTGGTGTGCACAGCTCACACAGCCATGTGCTTGCTCATGAAGTACCCACTGTGCACAGCATGTTCAAATGCTCGTTGAACATACAGTGTGCACTCGCTCTCACCGGTGCCACCATCTTCATTTTCCCAGTGTGTGTATGTGTTCAGGTTCCATTCTGCCCCTGGCCCTGTGCCTATTCCAACCCTTCCCTCATGGCTCTCTCCTCACCAAACATGCTCTGCCCCTTCCCCCAGCATTTTTTACACACCACTGAACAGCTGATCGCAGCAGGCAGGAGACGCTGGGAGAAGAGGGGAAAGCTGGATGGTGGGGCTGCTGGTGTGTGCTGAGCAGCCACTATTTTTCTCCTGTGGGTGTTTCAGAGCTGGAGTACCCACAGAGTTGGCTGCCTATGCATACTCTGACATGTCTCAGCAGAGGTCATGAAAGAGAGAAAGGCAGACAAGAGAGTAAGAGGGAGGGGATGGCCCTTGTGTGGGTGCTGTTAGTTGCCCCGTTGTTGGCATGTAGGGTGGGTACAGGCTGGGCCCTAGTTATAGACCAAAAGATCTTGAAGGGAGGAAGAGCAGATGGATATGCATGGGCTAGCAGCTCCAATACTTGCTCAGCCTACTGGGTCATAAGTTTACCATGCCGAGTGAGACCATTGATCAGCCATATCCAGCGTACTGTCTCTCTGAAGAGCTAGTTCCTGATGTTCCAGGAAAAGGTGACTTAACCACCACACCAAGTCCCTAGTAATGCACCTTGCCAATTATACAACACTTCTCACGAGGAAGGGATTTGAATCATGTCCAGTCACCCGTAGGTGATCAGCTTACACCTTGACTCCTGATACTTTCTATTTAAAGAATAACGGTAACTGCACACATTGCTCCTTGTCCCGGATTTGTCAGGCTGCTCGGGACCCATGCCTTGCTAGCAGCTTGGTTCTTAAGACTAAGCAGGCCCAGCAGTTGTACAACTTTCTGCAGCTGCCTTGTTAGTAAGACTCAATTAACTTCTGCTGTGGCTTCCAACAGTGTGCTACATACCTGTAGTTGCCTTGAAGCTTCTGCTCATCTCTTGCTAGAGCATCTGTAATCTCCATGAATCCTCTGTTTATGCAGGGCATTCCCTTGGCATGGTTCTGATATCACCCACTCTTAGAATACTGTCTCCTAGATTCCAAGCCCACTCCAAGATTTCTCTCAGGCCTTGCATTCATTATCTTTAAGACTCAAGATCACTGGGGAATTTATTTACATGCAGCTGTGGCACCTAGAATATATTCAATCTAGAGCAATTGAAAGTGATTGATGTGTTCAAGCAAATAAGGAAATCTCCCCTAACCTCACCCATTCTTTCCCATAGAATTGCTGTTTGTGATTAGAATAATGTTAGCTGTAGTAGCACAATTGTCTAACTCTGCTCAGAATGCGAGTGTAATATCAGTATCAGTTCAGTATGATGAAGTGTGGCTGGCTGAATTTTTGTACCTATAAAAGCTCTCCTGAAAACTATCTCCTCTATTTACTCACTGCACAGACACAGCACAGAGAGAGGCAACCCTCTGTCCTCTACCTTCCTTGAACTGCAGGGGGAGTTCAGTCTCCATGGCCCTGTTTAGTTATCGGCTCTCTGCTAAAAGCTGCTTACAATGATTTATACACATTGGTGGTTTTTGTGAAGTGCACTATAAAGTGGTCTAAGACTTCATTTTAGCAGAAGAAGGGCAAGCTGAAGATCTGCTAATAAACATGGCATTTCTTTCTGACATTGCTTATTTTAGTTTGTCACCGGCAATATTTTCATTTTGTTTCCCTTTTTTCTGCTCACTAATGTTGGCTGGGAACTTTTCCATCAGTGTTTATTGACGGAAAATGCAGTTTTGCTTTGTGCTGAAATTTTGTAATTTTTTTTTCTGTTAGAAAAAAAAATTAGGTTTGGTTTGAATTGAGCCTAATCAAAATGTTTCATTCTGAGTCATTTGAACATTAATCTGTGTCTGCCTGAGCTGCCATAGTACCTCAAGGAAGTTGTAGTCATCCTGTGATGACAAGTGAATATGGCATAGTGTCCCACACAGTTAGGTCCTGCAAGGGGAAAGCCTGATGCTCCAGCCCAGGGTCCTTGTGGAAAGACAAGGGTTAATCAGCAGGACATGAATCAGCAGAAGCCTTTTAGCCTTGCAGGGAGCTAGCCTGGAACACATCCTTTTTATTACATTTTAACGCAAGGGATTAGGAATGGTTAAGCATCTTCATGGCTGGATTGGAGACAGCTTGCTCTTCACCAGAGGAAATGCTGCTAACCTTGGCATAGGTCTCTTTTGGTTTAAATAGTATGTTTGTTCACAGCCTGTTCAAAGGCTTTCTTTTCTCTTTGCTTAGAAGAAAAAGAGAGAAGCTGCACTTGTTTTCAGTCCAAATTAAGGCATTGCACTCACTCTGTTTAGAGTGTTAGATTTGGTTTAGTGAGCAGCGCTCAGTCTACCGGTGTCAAAAATTGGAACTCCAGGGCATAAGGCAGATTGAAGATTCCCTCTTCCCTTGGCTCTAAGGGACTCCTGGGACAGCGATGGTCTGAAAATCTCAGGCATCTTTACATTTCATCAGAGATTGGGGGTGGGGAGAAGAGTGTGAAAATATTCTTCTGTGTTCTGATCTGCTTTAGCTAGAAATCTCTAGTGAGGCAAACAAAGAGTATATTTCTGTGGGCATGCCTACACCATGAAATTATTTCAGAATAACTTATTTTGAAATAATAACTCCTGAAATAATAATTTCAAAACAGTGTGTCCACACTACTGGGAACCCTTGAAATTAGTCTGAGGCAGGCTCCATTAATGTGGATGCACGACCTCAATTTAGAGCCCTAGGAAGCACTGGGGAGTAATTACTTTGAATGACTCTGGGGAGTACTTATTTTGAAATAGTGGTTGAGGAGTGTCCACACTACTGCTATTTTGAAATAGCTATTTCTAAATAAGTGTTACTCCTCATGGAAAGCAGGAGTTATTCTTTCAAAATAATGGGCTTGGTAGTGTGGATACTCCGCTTGTTATTTCGAAATAAGGGGAGTTATTTCAAAATAACTCCCTCGTGTAGATCACGGTTGTGGTAGAACTAGCTGAGCAAGAGAGCGTAGGTTTGGATTTGGGTTTGTCCAACTCATGTTTGGAACCTGAGGACAGACAAAGGAGCTGGCCTGGGCTAGTAAGGGGAGGTCTTGCTCAATGTGTTATTTCCCAAAAGCCCCAGATTCTCCCTTTTCCCCTGACTTTGACATTTTCTTTCCATTTTATAGCTACATGCAACCAGGATTTGCCGTGCTGCTGGGTGGAAGGGACAGCTGTTACCCCTGGGGGCTGATGATACCTTTGCTCTTTGTTCAACTGCCAGGAATGCATTATGGAAAATACACCCACTCCAGTTACTATGTCCTCTCTCTTAGATATATGCTGATTCTACTGGCCCAGGCAGAAGAGACACCAAGGTCATTTTAAGAGTCTGGCCTGTAGAGCACTAGGATCAGAGCTATTTATTAAGCCAGCAAAGATGTGGAAACAAGATACATAGTGCTATTTATTTTTCACAGTGGCAAAGCCCTGGGTTATTTAATCACGGACTCTTTCATGCCCTAGCTGACCTTGACTGGGGTATATGCCAAGTGGCTTTAATTCCCCTTTAGATGTTATTGGTTTCAATTAGGGGTGTAAAGTACTCACATTATTATGCCATGATTGTGTTGGTTTGCCCCAAAGTAGCCATATTTGAAAGAAAT